TTCATATCCGCATCTCTAATTATTTTATATTTATAATCTTTTGGTTTAAACCAAAGCATTTGTGTCGACAAATAAAAACCCAAAACAATTGAAAATGATAAACTTCTATATGAAGAGAAGAACTTTGTTTTTCTGGGTCGAAAATAACTTTCTTATGTCGATAACCCACACACATACACATCTCAAGTTGAAAGGAAAAATACAAAATTAAATTGAATGCTCAAGTTGTTATAAAGCATATATATTATATTCATCGTTATAGAAAAATCTTGAAAATCTTATACAATTGAATATACACTGTTAATCAGTGCTTCTATATGCTGACAAAAACAAAATGTAGATATTAATTTTATTTGTAGTTTAGCTATAATTGCATAACCCGAACTCTGTCCAAATATGGAAAATTCAGACGACATCTTACGCGTGATGTACATCATGTATATACGTTGAAATTAACTAGAATAATACAAACTAACTTAATTGTAGCTAGGCCCCATCTCGTTACATACTTATATACACGTATTGTAGTTATATTATATATGACGATTTGTTCAAAACTGATTTAATTTTACGTCTACGTTATATCATTTCAGAAATCTAGAAGTGGACCTATGCGAAATATTATGTTATCTCTTGGGTCGAAGTTTATCAACTTGCCAAATCACTCTACAAAAATATAGAGATAAACAGAAGAATAATAAGATTATGGAATTGTACAAATCGAACAAGAGACAACCTGAAAGAGAAAAAAAATATTTAATTTTAATAAAATATTTATTAGTAATTTTAATAAAAAATATTTATATTAAATTTTGAAAAATTAAATCTTAGGTCTCACCGTCGACAATGGCGGTCGTCCTCCTCCTCCGCCGCAGCTCGCCTATGGCTCCGACGTCATTGTTGGAATCTTCGACACTGGTTTTATCTCAGACTCTTTCCTATTTCAGAACTCTTAATGTTACCATTTCGTTAAAAATTTTGTTGCTTTCAATTAGGAATTTGGCCGGAATCGGAGAGTTTCAGAGAACCGCTAGAGGCGAAACCCATACCTTCGCCGTGGAACGGAATATGCATCGGAGGGGAAGATTTCGACCCATCCGTACATTGCAATCGCAAACTCATCGGTGCTCGATTTTACCTCAATGGAGAAATG